GGAGAAGACAGATACAAAACACGAGTTACACGGTATAGTGTAAAGGAAAGTTTCCATCCAATCTTACTTTCAGGGGGGTACAGCCCTTGTGATGATGACATACCTACTCCTAGTTCCGCTCCCAGTACTCGATTTTGTCAAGCCCTCCTTTCGCATGGGTGGCCCCGAGTCAAGCCGGACTGATGATATTTAGAGCAAGCGTGGTGGCTAGTAACCCTCTGCCTTGAAAGATTGGATATTTGCCTAGCAGTGCTTGCTCTCTGCTCTAGTTCGTCAAGCATCATTTTTGGTTTGGCTTACCGCAAACCTAAATAGGGCTAATAGATGAAAGTAAAGACCCTGCTCATGTGACTGGTATCACTAAGTAGTTAGTAGACGGGATGTTTGATTGACACCATCCATCGTTTGCTTCTCATTGGACTTCTATTTTCTTCAAAGGGCATGGTGATCAGTGTAGACAACGCTGATACCTGTCTACCCACTAGATTCTAATGTTTTTCGCTATATGCCCCCTTTTCCCTTTTCTTTTCTTTTTTTCTTTTTTCTTTTTTTTTTTTTTTTTTTTTTTTTTTTTTTTTTTTTTTTTTTTTGTCCTTCTGTACTTGTACCTCCCTGTTGGGATATTATTTGCAGTTAGGCGATCTTCATCAGTCACTTTGGTGTATCTACGAGATCCCCAAGGTATTAGGTATGTGTCCTAGGTACAACCCTGGCCGTGGTCACCATTATACACCCAATGGCCACCGGTGAACTAGAGTCTAAAGGACAATCAAGGGTATTGCAACCCTCACCCCAAACGTTCTCCCCTGGACAACCTCCCTTGGAGCTTGTGTGTTAACTAGTTTTTTGTCTCTGTCTCCCCCCAGTCCCGCTTTTCTCTTCCCTGTCTTTGCTACTGTTCGGCATCTGGCAATCAGCTCAAAAAAAAAAAAAAACACCACCTGTGTACGAACTATGTAAAGAGGTGCCGTCCCCTAGTCAATTCAGGTTCCTACATACCTACCCTGTCTTGTTCATAAGCGCCCAAAATCCGGGTATCGCACATTTAGCGTATCACGTTTCAAAAGGAATTTTGGTGTTAAGCAGAGTTAGTCGCCAGCTCATACATACATTAACACACCTACAAGGGGGTACATAACTACCCAGGTATCTACCTATTCTTGTATCTGGCGGTTACTCAACAAGAAGAAAAAGAAAAGAAGGAAAATTCCCAAGGCGAAGAAACAGCAGAATGGTTTCCAAGATTGCCAGTTGTCATCCAATCGAGTACCGACGATGCTGACGGCGGCAGCGGCGACGATGTTATTGATGACGTTGTCTTCAGTATCCGCGACAATTCAGAAGGGGATCTGAAAGGCAGCCAATTAGCCTAGGCAAGCGGTTTGGGGATTGACTCTGAGAAGGACCAGCACAGCCACTCTGCAATATTCTCTGCTTGGTGGTGGTCTTTACTACCTCCTGGCCGTACCTACTTTGGACATCAGTGATGTTGTCTATCATGACGTTCAGGTATTGCATCAGTTATATTTGCACACGAACCAGGCCTCGATTATTGTGATACTATTCAGTTTCTTGCCTCCACTAACCAGCTGCAGCATCAGTTCTTCATCCATTTCCTTCCTAAGCGTGGGACTCGTGTACTGCAGGAGCTGTCTTATCTGTCCTTATTGGCTGATATTGTTGGCAACTGTAAAACACCTGTCTCCATCATACGGTGGCTCATGGAGACCATGACTTTGTATGGAAGAAACACTAACGGCAGGCACAATTTTCTCCACTTAGATGACTGTCGCCCAGATACGGGCAAGTAATCTCTGTTTAATTCGTCATTTCTACTTATGTTGATCTTATGCTGACATCAAACTGACGCCTTGTCTGACGCAGAAACAAGCCTGTTCAGTCTGCCAAACAGTATATACTCCAGGACGGCAATTGATCTCTCGTTGCTTGTAGCTGCTGCGCTGTAGCTATCATTATTACCCATATCATTTCCATTCATGTTATTGCATTTTTGATTTATTGATCACATTTTCTTCTCTGGGCAACCTGGCCAGGGCTCTCAATTACCTAGATATCAACAGATATGCATCTTCTCTCCTCCTGCCTCGGCGCCTTTCGCTCTTGTTCCTGAATAAATATTATTCTTTATTTAACTTATAATTCAGCATTCTTTTTGATTGGGGGGCGGGGGTTTTCGCTTTCTTCTTTTGTCTCAGAATTCTTATCCTTCGAGATTCTCTTTTTCCATATTTTTTTTTCTCTATTCATACCCCTCATCTTTGTGTTATGATGCCTGATCCCTGTCGGTTCCACAGCTGCTAACCACTGCTCTCCATTCTCGTTTCCACTTTTTCTTTCAATGACTTTTCACCTATATTGCTGTGGAGCTGTTCTCATAGGTGAATCCAAAATACCTATTACCGTTTCTTCCATGCTCCCTTACATATGTATATATGTATGTATGTATTTTTTTTTTCTTCTGCAGCTCGCTTCCTCTATCCTGGCCACCCTCTCTGCGTATGCAGAGTACACATGCTTGGAGAAAGAAGCAATTTCCAAAGTTCAAGGATTATGTGGTGTTTCTTAGATGCGGCAAGATTGCAGAATGGTCAACCTTGCACCCTGTCAAATACTATGCCTTGGTCTTGTGCATATCGTACCAGCGCATCCTATACTGACCGTACTGAGGCTTCCTGGAGGGTCTGGTCAAAGCTCTGTCTGCTTTACCTTTTAACTGGCACTTTGAACCCACTTTTGCTTGACATCTTTGGCCCTACGTTCCTACTGTTGTCAGGTCACAGTAGTCTGACACACTATTGAACTGCTGAGAATCTTCCCTCTCTGTCTTGTTTAGTCTTCCCTATCCCTCAACCCTAATCCGAAGTAATAAGATTCTTTCATCTAGTCTCTCACATTGAGCTCGGTACGATTGCAAGGGTAGCGAACGCATAAAGACCACATTCCAAGACGACTCCACTAGAAGCTCAGTCATACGGTCTTTTTTCCGAGTGTAACTGCAATCACAGTCTTTTTCCCCGTCTAAAGAATTATAGGTACCTCTGGGGTTTGGCAGACCTTTTTTCAACATGAGTGGTTACCCAGGGCGCAATCACGATGGCTCTGACAGCTACACGGTGAACCACCAGCTCCTACCTGTTCCGTACAGTCACGGTGACAGTCACGACTTTGGGTTAAATGATTCAGGATCGTATCCTTTCCAGCAGCAATCATTCAGTACCTATGCATCACATTTTGGTTCACCCTATAGCCATTCTGGCATCACATCCAGCACGCATCATCTGTCACCACATCATTCACCGGGACATTCGGTCCCATCGACTCCTGATCATGTACCTCTTCAGCATCACATCCAATACATGCCTCAGTCACGTTACCTTCAATCACCAGGGTTTCTGCCACTTCGTGATGCATTTAGCGAGGCAGATATTGAAAGCCAGGATTCACAGAATGAGAATTCGATGCTATCGGAGCCAGTCATCCCTCCTCTGGACGGCTTTCCTAATGTAAGAGAGTTTGATCAATTAATGAAAAGGTAGGACGAACCCCTTAACATTGGAGTTACATTATATGCATGCTCAATGATTTGACAGCTATGTGGACGACCTTTCCGTCAAAAAGCAGGACAAGGCTTTGATCCACGCCAAAAGAGCACGAAACATCAAGACAGTGCTGATGGACCCCAAGGATACGGCTGTAGAGTCAGCCCAATTCCGGTAATTTGCCCCATTGCAATTCATATATGATCACATTACTTGAAGCTAAAGTTTGTGTTGTTCTAGCTTCTGGGTGAAAAAAATGTTCAAGCTCCAAACAATCGGGACCGGCACATCAGATGTTCGTCTACAGTCCAAGCTATTTAGGGCCTTGCGTGCTAACCTTGGCTGCGATTTTCAAGTGCACGAAAATGATCTGCCATGAGGGGAAACCAGTGGCTATTCGGGAGAAACTCTTCAAAATACTTACTAGAGCACATCAACAATGCCAACATGGAGGCAGAGACAAAACATCAGCTCGAGTTAGACAAATCTATTCATGGTAAGCTCAGATTCCCAACTTATCTTTTGATACTGGTGTCGAAAGGTCAGAGAAATCGCATGTATCATTTCTGATTCTTATTCTTATGTTATCACTTCTTCGTTCTTTTCGTTCTTTTCGTGTTTTTCTTATCTTGTTCTTCTCTTCGGGTCCATTTGGTCTCTCTACCAATCCCCAGCAAGTCCCAAGTTAACCACCGGTCAAGGGTTCCGAAGGAACTTATTTCACGCTTTGTCAAGATATGTCCGACCTGCCAAGTGCGTCGAGGGGGTCCGCGCTTGACACCTCCGAGTTCGAGAAGAAGCTCACCTCGCCTAGAGGTGCTGTCCCGTTCACCAAAGTTACCATCGCCGCCTATGTCAAGGCGTGATTCCACTCTGAATGGACAGCTTGCCTTGGAAAGACCGCAGTCGGACTACTTTACCCAACTTAGCAGCCACAGCACTTGGTTGGACAGCCAACGATCTCTGCAAGAGAAGCAAGCCATCAGTGCAGGCCACGTGCGCTCCTTCAATGGGGGAACGATGGGCCATCTGCCAAGTACACTTTCAGGAACTCTGGACTCATTTCATGGAGATTTGCCAGTGTCGTCATCTCAAGTTAGCTACAATGCGGTCTATCCTTCCACCAACGGGCCGTCTAGCCATAGGAATTTCTAGAGGGGTGGATATTCATAACTTTTGCTGCATGAACAAGTCGATAAAGCAGGCAACTCAGAACTTGATTGGGGATGTTGGTATAGCACGTTTCGACTGCCTCATGTGGCCACCTGCATAATTAATTAGACAAGCTTCTCTAGTCTATTATGGCACGGTCTATCATTTTCTTGTATCCTAATGAACATCGCAATTGAACCTGAAACGTGCACCATAGGTCTCTAATGCTGGGAGTTCGCATTGCTACATTTGATCAACATCAGCGTCAGCATGGATGTCTGTGAGAGTATGGAAAATGCATTGTATTGGACTAGACCATCACCGAGACTATAATTATAAAGACGCTAGACGACTTGTCCCCTCGCAGGGGTTGGACGAGTCTATAGTGCGTACCGACCAAGATCAGTTGTGTGTGAATGTTAACTACCTCAAGAAAAGTACCTATTGCTGAAGGAAAGTTGAAATTCAATGGTAGATAGACACACTATTCTCCTCCAACGGCTGGCTATCCTCCTCGGAACTTGCAACGCCGTTTATGACGAAACCAGTCACCATGTACGCCGAACTTAAACAGGCAATGAGAACTTCTTACCCTTCATAACCCTGTATGACAGTTAGCGCCCCTGGGTACTGATAGAGGAAACTTGCTGGGACTCACTTGGTGTAATAGATATAAAAGAAATCAGAATATAAGAGTGTCTGGATGATACCGGCTACAACAGGGATAGGCTGAAAGTGGCTCTCTGCGAAATAGCGATAAATCCAATTGGGGATGTAAAGGGCACGATACAATCCCAAAGCGAAAAGATAATGCGTTGTTATGGTGTCCGCCTCCCCAGTGCGCTGAAGCATGAAAAGCTGGGGCAAAATAGCCACGGACTCGAGCCATATAGAGAACGTCCAAAGAATCTAGAAAGGTCAGATGAGGTGTGACAAATGTCCTGCGAGGGGGTTTACCTCTGAGACGCTATAGTCGTGCGGGAAAAGGAGAGCCAACAAAGCACTGAACCCGAGGAGATACTGCACTTTAAAGGTATCAGTGTTGGGGTCATGCGTTGGCTTATAGTCGTTGAGCATGAGGTAGATGATATAAGCTGACGAGCCGATGAACAGGATTTTAAAAGTCGTATTATAGAAAGAGTCCGTGAAAGCCCAGAATAAATCTGTGATCAGAAACCAGTCAGAGAGCTAGACCTATACAATCGAGTATTGAATCCCTGAATCTTACCAAGATAACGCGTTACAAAAACCATCAAATATAGCGCCTGGGACTTGAATGAAAGCCCTGAGCAACTCTGGATCCAGTCAGAAAAATGCTAAGAATCCGTTATAATGACAGCATACACTTGAAGACTTCATCTTCTGCAATAATATGAATATAGACGCAAGATGGGAAAAGTCGGCTTGTTTGTAAGAATTAGCATGGTGCGTCAATTGAACTGAGAGCGAACAAATAACTCACCTAATAACCTGAAGATATTCATGATGGCAAAATAAGTGAGAAATCACTGGTACCTAATGGAGATTATCAAATGCTTGCTTGTTCAAATAAAGGGTTATCAATGAGAATCAGCCATGGGAGTCCTTATGACGAAGCTAGATCTCCTATGGCTAAATGTAATTGCTCTGCTAGTGGTACTCAAATATGCCTAGATGTTGACACGAAGCCTCAAGTGTATGCGCCACAGGGTGCGCCCCACATCATGTGTGATGCCGTAATACGAATAAAGCCAGCCACCAACAGGGACAGCGGGCACGGTCCATGGTACCTGGCTACCTGCAGCAGCAGCTAACCACTTCGATCTTGATCTGTCTTAGCTAACCGGACGCCTGCCCTATGTGGATGAGTTCTAACTACATAAGGTAAGACTGGGGCACTGCCCGATTCTTGAGAAGGGCCGAAAGGGTAATACTAAAAAAAAAAAAAAAACTAACTAAGACGAGAAGATAATCATCACGCTTATGGCCGTAGTACTTCGTTACATGTAAGAGAAAGTGCACATATCCAGCAACCATTATTCAATGGTGCATTTCTTGTGAACTGTACTCGATACTGCTAAAGATTCAAGTTTGTAACTAGCCTTGTGAAATAAGGATTGAATAGATAGGATACTGCGGATCATGAGTTGTGTGGAATTGAAGAGGTTGATATGTTTTCTACTTGCTTTGCTATTGGAGACGGCAATGGCTGGTATGTCAATAATAATGTGCCTTGACCCAATCTCAGAACATCGCACCAACATGAACGCCTTCACCATCAGCTATACGTTGTAGGTGTCCTTCTGCCAGTTCACTTTTTAATGCACAAATAGAACTTTCCCTGTCTAGCCTATCCCAATCTCGGATCCCAACTCGCCTTAGCTTCTGACTGTCCGCAATCTGTTCAAAAAGTCTGTCTTTATCTGTTTCCAATTGAGACAGGCGTTTCTCCATGGCAATATCAAGTGCCGAAGGAATGATTTTGCCTTCAGGTATAATTTGGTGAAGGCCCGCAAGGTGACTAAGATGTCTCGGGATGCGAGCGGGATAGGAAGACCCGGTAATGCTACCTTGTCTGCTGGGATGGGGGCGGGGCAACTCAACGCCAGGACCTGTTGACATAAGACTACTGCGCGGACCAGTCGGTGGGGAACCGTGGAGTCCGGTAGCCGCAGGCCCACGGCGGACTGGGGAGGCTGTCCAGGACGACTCCTTAAAACTTGGACCGCCGCGTGGCCGAGTTGGAGCTGACAGCAACGAAATGTTTGACCCACGATTCTGCAACATTACTTTAGACCCATGTGATGGGCCAGATGGCGGTATTTGACCCTGCAACATGTGGCCGTATGCCTTTGGTTGTACTGGAACGTTGCGGGATTGGTATGTATCCGGTTGGCCAGAAACTAATCCAGGAGCTTCGGTTACCCGCTGTTGTGACCTGACGCTTCCAAAATCTTGCCCATTGCCCGTAGGTCGTTCTGGCGCTGGCGATTGATGCCTCGGTTCCTCGGGTGCGGGCTTGCGACTGAGCGAACAGGCTCGCTCTCCTCGAGAGGACTGATCTGAAGTCCTCGAAAGACATCGAGGAGGGTTTTGGTGAGGTGGCGACCGGCTTGGGGCATTGGATGAATTCAAATTGAGTCTTTCAGTGAAAGGAGACGAACGTCTTGAAGTTGGGAGTGAGCCAGATGCGGATGTACGCATAGGTGATGCGCCCTTAGGAGATGCTGATCGCCGCTTCTTATTTAAAGGAATATCTAGGTGGCGTTCCCTGCGTCCTCCATGAAAAGGGCTTCTGGATCTATGGGAAAATTGTGCACGGCTGCCAGTATCACGAAGTGGAATGTCAGGCTTTGTATATATGTCGCCAGAAGGCTGATTCCGCTCCCGCCTTGAAAACCTGTAGTCATGGCTCCGCGGTGAAATCTCCCGGGGGCGTTTATGGTTACCCCGACTCCATGAGATATCACGCTGGCGGCTTTCGCCATATGGAGACCTTGAGCGCCACGAGGCTTGGTGAGGCGACCGATTCCTTACCTCACCTCGTCTAGGCGAGAACCGCCTTGGCGATGGACATGGCTTTGAATATGTGCCCATTCCAACTTCCCCCCTGTAAAATGATGGACTGCGTGAGAGGCGACGTCTTGGGGCCGGTGGTGAGCGACTGCGCACACGGCCATACGTCCGACCATGTGAGGGAACCCATGTATCTGCAACAAGACGAGGAGAATGAACTCGCGGGGGCGATCTGCTCCGTCGTAAATAAGCGCGAGGACCACCAGGACGGTAACTCTCTCCGCCACGGAGATCATCAAATCTATTCGCGGTCATCTTTTTAGCCACTATCAAGACGGGGTGATAGCTCGAACCAACCTTCTGCTGCGGTCCCAATCCATCTCCTTTTGTGCCGTCGCAAGTAGGATGGAGCGCGCCAGGTAGTTATGTCCTTGGTTCAGGCTGAGTTCAGTCTATGATCATTTCAAATTGAGAATAGCACATGCTGTACGGAGTATGTCCGGTGGTGACGGGTATTCAGTGTCACGTGTTTTCCCACAAACCTCACCACTGGACAAAGGTGGAGGTGCTATGTATGTAGTATACGATACCATCAGTTTTTATTGTCTATTGTAGGGAAATCACAGACAGAATTTCACGGTTCTTGCGCCTTTACAGGGGATCCGCGAAATATACTAACGATGTGACTCTGTCTACCAGCTTATTGGGCCTATTAAGTAGATAGTAAAAGACAAGTTCGCCTGTAACACGAATTTTGCAAAGCAGCAGAATAACTCCAGTACATATAGTTTATTACCTATTGGTCAATGTCCACCGATATGTGAGTGTTTTAGTTTTATGATGTTGCTGAAATGCAATCTCGACATAAAGCTTCAAGAGTGCAGTAGTCAAAGCCTGGACACTAGAGCAAGCCCATGAAATTATATAAGAGCAACACACCTACAAGGCCAGTACGTAAGTGAATTACTTGATGATATGCTGGACTGAACATAGGCTGATTGAAAAAAAATTATCTTTGTGCTAGATGTGCTTTCTTAACTTCCATGATCTTTTCGATTAGAGGTTCATTTAACAATGCCTGCTCGGCCGCCTCATTTCCTGCAATTGCTTTATTAGAACCTTGACCAGAGCCAAGGTGCTTATGGTTCCAGCCCCAGCCAGTGAGATAAACTCCGATAAAATATGTCTGTAGCCCCCTGCCGCGCTGAGCAGGAGGGCGCTCATCGATGTAATTAAGCTTAATCCCCTTGCCCATGATTTTCTTTGCGAGTGCTTCTTTGGCATGCAAGGCGGATTTTGGTTTTTCAAGCTTTTCAAGCTTCGGAGACCACAATTGTCTTAGCCATTCTTCAGCCACACAATAACCATTGCTGGTATCTGACAGGACAACGGCAGCTACATAAGCCTCAAAGATGTCCGCCTTGGTTTTAAGCCATCTTTTGGGTTGCTTCCGATAGTCCGGAGGTACGGAAGCCCTGCTGTCGAGTCCGTACTTAGACGCATAATCAGACAGTGTCTCATTCTTTACAAGTCTCTCGCGTATTTGAGATATTTGACCCGAAGGAATATCCTGGAATCTGTCCCAGATGAGCTTCGTGGAGATAAGTTCTATATATGCATCTCCAAGAACCTCGAGCCGATCGTAAGTAGCTCCGGAGTTGTTGCTGACACCCGGGTGTGTGAAAACTGCCCTCTCAAGCATGTCATCCAATATTGGAGGTAAAGGGGGCAAAGAACACTCCACATTGGCTTCCGATGTCTCTAGCGCTAGTGTTGCACCCTCATAGCGTTTGGTAGTAGATTTTATGGTACCTGCTGCACGCTGTAATGCAGCGTCGAGCTCAGTAGCTGCAGTAAAGATATCGGTGTCGGTCTGGGATCCGTGGCTTTGAGTATCGCCGTGGCTCTGTATAATATCCTGAAGCAATGTTCTCAGAAGGACGAAATTATTCTCTTTGCTTTGCGGGCTGTGGGTGGAGGGGATTGAATCTTTCGCAAGCTGCAAGTCATCATTGTACTTCCAAGATGTCAGTGTAAGCCGAGATAAACGAGCATTTATGTTTACCTTTGCTTTCTTTTTTTCGCTATCAGAGGGTAGCGAAAATACTGATTTTCGTTTTGAACACATATTGATCATGGCGTGAACAATCATTATATATATAGACCTACAGACAGGTGCCAAAGTATGGACAATGTATGATCACGTGATCCGATATGCTAGTTGTACTGAACAGAGACTCCGCCATCGCTACCCTAACAATATCCACCCGAACACGCTGTGTCGACAATGGCGGCGTCGTACAGCAGACTGCTTGATCTGGTCAAGGTATTTAGCAGAGCGCAGCTTAGCTGTGATAACCCCCTTCATAGCTGTCTCTTTTTACTTCCCAGGCTAATCCGTACCACTCCGGCCAGGTCCAATGTCGGATCTTCTCGCTGAACTTTAATCCCGAGAGGATGCGATTAGGAAACAAGATCCTACGACAGCGTCTGCGTGGCCCGGCACTTGCAGCATGGTACCCGAGGAAGACCGTCTCATTCCGCGACTTGCAGGACACGTACAGCCGCTCAGGTCTAACAATGTTCGATGAGGCTGAGGATGATCGCGAGGAAGCAATCCAAATGTATGTTCCTTGGGGAAGTCTTTTCTACCATATGCTTATTTTCCTGGGATAGTGCGAAGTTACGAGGGAAGGGCCGACCCAAAAAGAAAAGAACGGCTGCAGGTAATGTTCAACAGTCGAGAACGGTTTGCGCATAAATGTCTAACTTGTGAACATAGAGTCGCGGTCAGCGAAAAAGAAGAAATAGATTCCCCGTGGCAAGTAATGTTGAACAGATAGTTTTATTGCAAAGGGTTATCCACTATGCTGTGCGATATGGCCTATATCGAAGCCATTGGATTAGTGCTCCCTTCAAGCTTATCCGGTTTCATGTTTTCTTCATTACTGTTTTTCCTTGTTTTCTACATTCTGGGTCTGTACATTATAAGAGTTAGATAAATCGAACATTATGACTAATTTTAAAGTATTGTATGTTAGCTAGAAGCAATTGTTTCTAGACCATCAAATGGGTGTTCGAAGAAAGGGACAGTCGTAGATACACTTCGGAATGTCATATCGCAAGGAAACAGAATTTCCATTACGACCAACTTATTAGCACACACTAGTAGTCGACCGGAGGTGAGTTGAAGGGAAAGGGACCAATCAATGGATGGAGCCGTCGGCGATGAGATCACATGACTGGTCCAGAAGGCCGCTAGATGGGACTCTTATCAAAGTGGCCTACATACTAGGAGGCTAACAATAATATCTACAAGAGAACGCGCGAATTCGCGCCACCCTTTATTACTCCTTCTACTGAGAACATAAACCCTTAAATAGTGGTCGGATACATTCAACAAAACGTCCGGCGCATCCAAGCCCAGCGCATTGCAAGCAGACGCGTTATCAAGGTGAAACTTTCGAGAGCAAAATGGGCAAGAACCAGTTGAGGCGGGCTAGGAAAAAGGCCCTTAAATTACAGGTATGATTCGTGCAGATTCTGAATTGGAGAAATGCTCACTCTTCTCGTCTATTATAAGGCGACTGAGACGTCTTCGAACACGCCCCGTGCGCAGACCCAGGTTGATGAAAACCTATCGCCAAGTATCCCCAAAGCTGCTAGTACAGAGCTACAAACCACGGTGCCCCCGGATTTTACCGATCCACTATGGCAGATGTACAAGGATGTTGTTGATAAATTTGACGAACCGGAAGATGAAAAGTCAGCTTTGAAAGAGCGTCCAAAACCAGAAATCTATTTCGACGATGATAACGAAATACCAGATGAGGAAGAGAAAGAATCTTCTTTATCGAAAAGGAAGAGAAAAGAATTGAATAAGCTTTCTGTCGCCGAACTCAAAGCGATGGTTCGAAGGCCTGAAATAGTTGAATGGACAGATACATCAGCCCCTGACCCTCGATTGCTTGTCCATTTAAAAGCACAACGCAACGTTGTCCCTGTGCCTTCACATTGGTCGCTGAAACGGGAATACCTGTCCTCCAAGAGAGGTATAGAAAAGCCGCCATTTGCTCTTCCCAAGTTCATCCAGGAGACCGGGATTTCGGAGATGCGCGATGCTGCCTTGGAGAAGCAGGAGCAGGCAACGTTGAAACAGAAACAAAGGGAGCGAGTTCAGCCAAAAATGGGGAGATTGGACATCGATTATCAAAAGTTATACGAGGCATTCTTCCGGTTCCAGACTAAGCCGGAGCTTACGCGGTATGGCGAGGTCTATTATGAGGGCAAAGAATACGAGACCAATCTTAGACACCTCCGGCCGGGGGAGCTGAGTGCTGAGCTGAAAGAAGCGCTTAACATGCCACCTGGCGCCCCTCCTCCTTGGTTGATCAATCAACAACGATACGGCCCACCCCCTTCTTATCCGGCTCTGAAGATTCCCGGTCTCAATGCCCCTCCGCCTCCTGGCGCTATGTGGGGATATCATCCTGGAGGTTATGGAAAGCCGCCAGTCGATGAGCACAACAGACCTTTGTACGGTGGCGACATATTTGGTGTGCTACAGCCCCAGCAATCGGTGCAGCAGGGCGAACCCATTGAAAAGGACCTGTGGGGAGAATTGCAAGAACCTGATATGTCAGAAGACGAAAGCGAGGAAGAGGAAGAAGCGGAAAGTGCAGATGATGACGATGATGATGATGTTGAGGCAGGAGTGCAGACCCCAAGTGGAATCGAGACCCCCAGTGGTTTGGCTTCTGCTGTTCCATCTGAGATGACAGGTCCCGAGAACATTGCTGGTGAGTTCGACGTACGGAAGCACTATCGGGGGACTCAGACCGAAGAATCAGTGGGCCAAAGAAGCGCTTTCCAGGTCATTCCCGAGAGACAGACGCAAGTGCAGGGGTTTTTCGGTGCTGATAGGGCCTATGACCTTGGTGCATCCTCGAACACTATGCCTGTGCTCGGCTTTGAAGAGAATGGCAAGAAGCGCAAAAGGCCTGGAGACGTTGACGTGTCTGTTGATCCGGATGCTTTGCACGCGAATGATGGCATTGATCGAGAAGACATAAAAAGGTTGTACGAATCCCAGAAAAAGATGAGCAATCCAGGCTGGGATTTTCAGGAGGATCTCAGCGACATGATCGCGCATGAGAGCCGAAAAAGGCTCAAATAGGCAGATGGATAAATAGCAATACTCCTTCCCACTAATGAGACATTTGGACGGTTACCGGTTGTTCGGCCATTCATACTACTCTAATTATAATGCTATTCATGTGTCAAGGAGCGGTTAACGTAATCCACGGTCACGCGGCCGTAAATCGGACAGCCCATCTCTTCCAGGGCACAATCTCCAACATCCTATCCGAAGTAATTCAATTATTATAGATACAATCAAAGTGGGCGATCTCGAATGTTGAAGGCCACAAAGGGGTTAGGAAATCATTTTCTTGTTATTAGAATTATCTAGGATGATTGAGTCACTAAGAATGATAAGACTATATATATCATTTCTGTCATTTGTTCGAGCTGCCCTTTGTGCAAAATGTATTGTGTCTATTATACAAGAATTTATAGTCTTTGGCCTGCAGATATACAAACTGTTGGAGAATAGGCAGGAGACGTGATAAGATCGATGTAAGGATACTAGTTACCGTTCTGCTTTAAAATTAATTACTGGTCTTCTGCAAGAGTTAGAATGCCAATAAAATATGAAATAAAAAGAAAAGAATATATAATATATTATTTCCTCCGCATATTATATTTATGTCTTTAATATTATTTCTCGGAGATTATGTCCCTTTAATCCTGCCTAATATTTTCATAGTTTATATAATTTTATATACTTTTTAGATAAAGAATAAATAAAGAATATTTTCAATATTATAATCTCTGTTTATTAGAATACTGTAATACAGTATTTTTTTAGTATAAATTTATCTTTATGTGCTCTATCAGTAAAATAATATTAAATATATCATTTATATTAAACATATATATAGATAATATTTACAATTATTTTACAGTTCTGTATACTAGCAGGTATAAACTTAAATATAAATAAGTTTATTTTTTTATTCAGTTGTAATTAATTATTATATTTATTTAATAATCCTTTTTGTATTATTTACTTTTATAATTTTATTATTAATACATTATCTTATTATCTTTTTTATTTAGTAGTATCTTTTCTTTAGATATTTTTTCTATTGTTTTATATTATATAACTTATCTACGGATATTTATCATTATCTAGTTTATTTATCAACTTATCAAAGTAGTTATACAATGAATTTTCTTTTTTCATAGAGTAATTCATATATTGTTAGAGGCACAGGTGTGACTCGGGCGGGTAGAAGCAAGTCATATAACTGAAATCGGATTATATGGTCTTCTATTTCTACTTTATATCTTACTGGCTTCCTAACTCTTACAGAGAATCAGTGATTAGTTCAAAATAAAATAATAGCTAATATTCTTATATATAATTAATTTTATTATATCTTTTATCTATTTCTAACAGTTCTGATTGTTTTTCTTACTACAAAGATTTAATAAAAAAGAGCTTTTTATATTTAAAATATAATATTTAAAAAGAGTTTACTTAAATCTCTAGAAATTTCAAAATAAAATCTTTTATAATAATAAAGACTGTAAATATTAAATTTAATAAATCTATTAATTTATATAATTTATTAAGCAAGGATAATATTACTATATTAAAATAAAAATTATAAAAAAATAATTTAATAATTATAATTATGAAGATAACTTGTAGAGCTAGA